GCTCGCGGCCGAGGAGCAAGCAGCTCCGCGCTTCGGCTGGCTCCCGAAGCGGCAAGCACAGCCGGGCAGAGCCCCCGCGGCTCACACAGCCACACACCCACCCCAGCGCGTGGCAACGCGGTTATGAAAGGTCTTCTCCGAATCACCCCCTCCAAACACGAGACCCCGGCAAAGGCTTCAGAAACCTGCGGCACGGGCGTGCAGGATGCTCCTCGGCACTGCAGCACGCAGCAACTCCCGGCTCTCGGAGACCCAGGGCTCACTGCGGCGTCCACTCACACCCCATTTCCTTGCCCACCCTTCAAGGACTGGGTTTAATCACCCTGGTTGGACACGGTCCTCCCCCAACCTCTGCTCCTCCTTGGCAAGGCCATTCAGAGCATCCTTCCTGGCTCCCCAGTGCTGTATCAAGGCACTGGTGGTGTTGGGGGCCACGCGTCGGCTTCCTGAGGGTATCAAAGGAACGTCCTGATAACACGAGGCTAGGAAAGACCTGAGACCCCGTTTGGCAAGAGCATCTACAATGCACAGTTGCTGGAGATGGTGCTAAGCACCTTCCCCAGCACTGCAGCTGGGGCAGACAGTTTCTCCCATCCCTGTCCTGAACTGCTGTCATACAGCTGACATTTTCCATCCTAATGAAGGACCCTGTGGCTTCTGACTGGCTGAAGCAACCATGCAAAGGACTGAGAGCGCCTCTGGGACGACCGTCCCTGCCCTGACGTGAGCTCATCCTGTCCCCACGCGGCCTCCTCCAAGTTTGCTGCCTCCTCCGGAGTTCAGCTGAGCAAACAGCTACTGCCAGCAGCCTCGGTGCCAGTCGGGAGGCCACAGCGCACAATCCATCATTAATGATTTAGTTATGTAAATGATGAGAAAAGGGAGTTGTTATGCACCGACAGTGGTCTCCATGACACTGCAATATATGTTAATCCTCCCGAGCAGGCTGCGCGCAGGCATCGCCATGAGACACACGCACACGCAGGGACAGATGCCAGCGCCCTGGGGAGACAACATGCTCCCTCCATCTGCCTCGCGTCCTTCAACGCAAAAACATTCACGGCCTACCTGGAAGTGGAGGATAATCGTCCATATGAGCCCCAGGGTGAGTTTGGGGTTGCCATCCGTAATGTCATCATTGCGAATGTTCACCAGTTTCACCTGAAAGAGATGGAACAGGGATGGTCAAAGCTTCCTATCGGATGCACCCACAAAGCACGGCGGGACCTGTCCCCGAGCACGCCGTCCCCCAGGGCCCCGCTGGACCCAGGCACCCAGAAGAGGCAAGAGAAAAGACCCTCTGGCTAATCCCTGCGCTTGCTGGAGAGGCTGCGCCTCTCTGCAGCAGACAAACGAGGCCGCCCTGTGCCTCTGCTCTAACGGCGCGGTTACAGGGACTGTTTCTCACTTCTCTGGCACTCTCTGGCCAGACATCTCAAAGTGCTTTACCAGCACTTAACTGCTTTATTTCAGTTCCTATGGAGAAGCGCCTCGTCCCCAAAGCCCTGAGTGCTGCTGCATAATTTAACAGCTACAGACCACAGAGCATGGTTGAAAGAGGACGAGCAGGCTTTATCAAGTCCCTCCTGGGTTCAAAACCGAGCTGCTAATCAATCAGCCCTAACACGGACAGGTAAGCCAGCGCTGCCTGCACGGAGGAGCGGAGCGGCTCACGCCAGGACCCACCAAAAATCCACGTCCGGGCAGGCTCCAGACCCACACCCACAACCCAAACCTGCTCCTTCCTGTCTGCTTCCCTCTGGAGGTGTTTTAAAAGCAGATGCAGCTGGGTTCAAAACCGAGCTGCTAATCAATCAGCCCTAACACGGACAGGTAAGCCAGCGCTGCCTGCACGGAGGAGCGGAGCGGCTCACGCCAGGACCCACCAAAAATCCACGTCCGGGCAGGCTCCAGACCCACACCCACAACCCAAACCTGCTCCTTCCTGTCTGCTTCCCTCTGGAGGTGTTTTAAAAGCAGATGCAGTTCACGAACTGCACGGGG